CAAGACTACTCTCATAAACAGGATGAAATGTAGTCGTGTTGTTGAGACCCCATGTCTCACTTGAAATCTAAGAGAATAATAATGGTGATATTACAATCTTTGTCATTTTTGTTTAACGCTTGAAGCGATAAGACTCCAAAAGAAATATGCTACAACTAGACGACTGTTTCGCTGGTATCGGCCTTTTTCGGTGTGTTTAAATCACTCTGTTCTAGCTGGATAAAAAGTACGCATATCAATCAATCAGTCAGCCAGTCAGTAGTACACAGCGTCATGCATTTATGCTTGCTTTCTTAATTGCCATATATGGACCCCTCTAGGAGTCCGACACTTGATTGATATCAACCGGATAATCATTCGTGCTAAAATCGCCAGTTGGTAAAAGTTGGAATTTAATGGGCTACTGATTCGAGTGCAAATGGCTGAATTGCCTACAACCTCTTTTCTTAACTGGATGGTCCTGGATTCGAACGTAGGTGGGTGCATACTGATGAAGAGTTCCAGACTAGGATGAAACAACTGTCCAGTACTGCCTAGTTGTTTTTCCAATGATTTTCCAACTTGTCACAGCTCGTGATCAATCCTGTAACATGCAGTTAACTTGTCTATGGTGACAGCTGTCTACTAGCCAAATTGGTAGACAGTAATTTACGTCAATATTTACGTTCCCAAGATTTGTCGTGAGAAGTAACCAATCGGAAGACTGTGTTTGTTTGTTTACATATCCATAGTAATATACATGAAAACATATATAAATATGCGTTGATTTCCTTAATAAATGATCTGTTGCCTGACTCTTGCCTTCTGTCGTTACAGTCTTTATCAGCTTGCACTTATTCGTAGTCTCACAAGTACGGCCAATAATGACGATAGAAGAATTTCTGTGATTTGGCGTGGCGTAAAAATACATACACCTAGATCTGGTCTCACTGTATACCTTGATCTCTTAATTCTGATTAAGTGCTCTAATATATATTCACATTTTTGTCCAATATCGATTTGCTTTCGTCGGTAAACGATAGACTAGACTAGGAAATCTTGAATTCTATGTTAATTACTTTTTGTATTCAATATTAAAATTACGCAATAGTATACCATTATATTCATTCATATCTCGTGTCTCACAAACTCAACAATTCGGCAGAAGTGATAAAGATAACCAACCAGCCAACCAATAACAACAACAAGTTCCAATCTCCATCAATGCGGAAAGTAGAAAAGAAGACGTCTCCTTCATTTACCTAACCAGGCAATATCGTTCCAGCTACAAACAGGCGGCACAGATGAGGATGTCAAAGTCAACCGAGATCAGTGGGCGTTCATTACTGTGAAATCAGTGTGGAGATCTACACCACAGAGAACAAGATCCGAATTTTTGCATTAATATCAAATCATATATATAGCTCAGAGACTTGTCAAGCTCATCACCAAAAGCATTCACAACAACTACCTTTACTCCATTCTGAAGATCAGATGGCTGACTGGAAAAGATGAGCGACAGGGACGTCTAGTAGGCAGTGAATCAGCAAAGAAATGAAGATGGACTGACTAGGCATACACACACCAGAAGCACATTACTGCTTATTAGTTCACTTTGTCCTCCTTTATGACAACGCGTCCTTGGTTCAGCGGTAGAGCGCTCGCCAACCACGCCACCACACGTTGTCCGGGTTTCTATCCTCGGCCACAGACGCACTCCTCAACCTTGCTAAACCGGCAGTAAGGTTGGTAAAGAGGGAAGGCTGGACATGAGGCTAGCAACCCCATCCCGTAACAATAAATCCACTGCTACCGAAACTTCAAATCTCTAGACTGGGGCCCTATGTCCCACTTGGGACGTAAAGGAATAAAATAAAAATAAATAAATAATGACTGTAAGCCGTTGAAATTGAAAGACCTGACGAGGCTATCTGTCTTTTACCACAGCTATTCGCGTTCTATCCTTCACTGTAGGTGTTTATAAGACATCAAAATATGGCTTTTCTTGAAAACACTTCACTGTTACGTCACTCATTGTATAGCCTCTTTTTCAATTGGAAAAAGAAATACGCCAGTTAATAAATTTCATTAGCATAATTTTGCATGAGAAGAGAACTTTTCCCCTTGTGTTTCACTGCCACATACACACACACAAACAGACAAACTTTCACTTCACTAAATTTATATATATATATATATAATAAAATATGCGAATTGGATTTTGGCTGTCTTCCAAAAGTTTTACAGTAATTAAATTCAATTAAATTTATAGCAATGCAGCCTGTTGTACAAACACCGATAGTAATAATAATAATAATAAACGTAATTTTACTTGTGAACATCACTCTTTATGTGTATTTGCATATGTGCGCACACACACGCACACACATACACACACGGAGAAACACGTATATTAACCGTAATCAATAAATAGAGGGCAATCAATTTCAATGAAAGGTCTTTAATAAAATGCCGAAAAACGTTTTTCAGGTAACTAACTACAAAAGGTATTTGTATTCTGTTATTATTAGAATGATTATTGTGATTATTGAATACATTCCAGGAATTGTCATTTTTACACCACCACTACCACCCCTCCTCTCCCAATGCACACACACAAACACCGCCCCTTCTACTTTCTCTCTGTTACGAAAACAAAATCAATTTCACTTTGATTGGACACTAGTTAGTTCCTTTCTGTCAGTCAAGTTTGCATTGTGGCCATCATACCACTAGGTGGGCTCGCCATCACGGTGCACTGCACTGTGAATTGTTGGTATTAGGTGGTTGGAGGCAATTGGCAGGAAGTCCTGATTGACCTAGGTTTGGTGCTAGGTGGCACTAACCAGTCAGTCAGCAAGGCGTATTTGCAACCACCTTGAAGGAACTCATATCCGTTCTGAGATTCGAATCCGTGTCATCCAGTGAGTGCTGCAGTCACAGACGTTACCACTGAGCTATTCAGGCTCACTATTGATCTCTTGTAGGAGTGACTATAATGGATAATTTGATTGGGTTCGAATTTCAAAAGAGAAGGTGCGGCCAAGGCTTCATGCCGGTTGCCTTTAAAACCATCTAATAAATCAATTTTACGTTTTAATTGTTCGCACTAAATCAATGTATGTGTGTGTGTGTGTCAGTGTTAATGATGGTGTATAGTCTAGACACATATTTGTGTGTCACTGTGTGTATTACTGTCATTCCATGCAGTTTTTTTTTGTGATGATTCGACATGAATAGACAGATAAATGGACTGAGTGACTCAAATAACAGTCGATAGATAGCACTTGATATGTGAGAAAACTACTAAAAGCATCTACTCTGATACTTTTGAGTAGTGCGAACCTATGACTCTGTGCAATATGAAGTCCTTGATTAGTAATACTATTTTATTTAAATCCTGCGTGTGGAACATATGACTTCAAGCTTTGAGCTTTAACGTTCCAGTAGCAGTGGTGTTGGCTTTATAGAGGGAGTTATTGCCAACCTCATACCCAACCTTCTCTCTTTACCAAGGTTATTAGCACGGCTAAACGAGGTTTCCGAGTGCGTTGGCCGGAGATTGAACCCCGGATTACGTGTGGTGGTGGCATGGGTAGCGAGTATTCCACCACTGAACCACCGATTTACTGTGATGACTATATTTTTTCTTTTGTCAGAGTATCAGTTGATCATTTGACCGAACTCCAACCATTTTACCACTTTGCAAGATAATAATATAACGCGGTCAATAATCTGATCTCAAATATAAAGTCATCCTACTGGCTAAATAATAACTTCATCGCTACAAAATCCGTTAATTCCGTTGGATTATGCATTGATATCAGTTAGAGAGCTATTGAAAACCAGAGTATTGGATTGTCAGTGGTTTCGTCCTAGTTTGGGACTCTTCAGCACTACGCAACCATCACTAGGGGGTTCGAAGCCAGGATTGAACTCAGGACCTTCAGGTTACGAAGCAGTTTTGTTGACCATTCAACTACCTGGACGAAACTCAATGTCTGATAAATTCGAAGTTTTTTTACAAATTTTTTTACAAATCGCTACAAACTAACACTTTACGATTCTATGTTGAATTATGCATGAAGAGGATGTCAGTTCCCGATAATTATTATTATTGTTTATTTATTATTCTCTTGGATTCCGAATGGAACATAGGGCTGGCTTCAACAGCACATCTTCACTCTCTTCTATCTTCTGCAGTCCTATTCAGCTGGCTAGCTACACGATTCCCCATAATCTCTCATCTCCTCCATGCCACTCTCTCAGTGACGACCGAGTCGTCGCTTCCCATTGGGATTCCACTCGAGTGATGGATGGTCTGCACTGAGCGCGATTTCATTCGATGGCCTCCTCCTCAACGTTTACCCGATCAATCCATCTCCATTTCCTCCTACGCATGCCTTTGTTGAGCAATCGGCTGTCGCTTGTTGGTTTGTTCCCAGTCAGCCAACCAGGCAGACAGTCAGAGTTTTTTGTTGCTAATTCTTTCTGGCTGGCAGGTTGCTTGACTGGCCATTTGATCTTCAGTATGGAGCGAGCCAGCGAAGTGGGCAGTTGTTGATAAAAGTGTGAAGTGGCTTGTTGGAAATGCTTTTTGTGACATGCAGACCAAGTTTCTGAACCGTATAGGAGAAGTGACTGACTGACTTGACATTTGTGTTGAACAGAATCCGAATCTTGTTGCTTATGCTGGCTGAGGCGTAGTGAAGAAGATGTCGAAACTGGTTTCAGGTTGTTTGATAAAGGCCTATCTTGGCTAGCTGGCTGGCTTTGACATCGACATCTGTGTTGTCTGACTGCCTGTAGTTAAAACCGTGCTTCGTGGCCAGATAAGTGAAGGGAGACAGTGACCTCTGTGAAATCTCGCCCACTGATGGTGATTGGTGCTGGTTGTTGGTGATGGTGCTGTTTGTTGTCATTTCCTATGGTTTACATGAAATAATATTAACACATTCAGTGTACACTTATCATTCTCAATATTGATAGAGTTTACCAAGCCTTTTTTTGTTCATTTTCAGTGAAAAGAAACCAGACAATCGTATTAGTCCAAATGCTTACAACAGTCGAATCAATATACCACAATATGATACTGATGTACACTTTAGAAAGTCAGGTGAAATAGACTCACGCACTTATACACGTCGAAAATTTTCACGATCTGGTGATCGAAGTGGTAAGTATATACCTAGAGATATTTCATGATATTCGATTAGTTTATTTCTTCAGTCTATTTTAAAACCACCTGGGAGTTTTTACCCTTTTTCAAGGCGGGGAAGGGTCTGGGGTAGACTGTATCTCGGTTCAGTTCCCAGCCGACACACTATCCACTCAAAACTAAAGAAGCAGAGTAGTTTCAATGTTGTGATCAGTTGCATGCATACTCTAGTTGTACACAATGTTTATTTCGTCACTGAGTAACGCAAATTCAAGTCTAGTTTGTTGTTGCTTGCAACAATGACATGTGATTTAACTGAATGGCCACACTGAACATAGCAACCAGGATTCTCAGTTCGTTCGAAAGAGCGTAGAGAAGTCGGCAAATCGGGTCAGTAACTTTGGCAGAGAGATTGGCTCTGAGGTCCGAGTCAGACTGCCTCCCAAGATCAGATACGTGTCGGTTCAGTTGGAGGATGGTTTCTTTGCTTCTTTGTGTTCTTTAGTGCGTGTCGTTGTGTGAGTTACTGGACTCTGGCTGTGATCGATGACCGTGGTCAGTTTCAGCTGTTAGTGTCATATGGCTATCAACACAGGTACACTTGTTCTGAGTTGCGTCAAGCAACTGTACTTCCATTGTCTGGTGCGCTCAACGGCTAACTCAAAACTGGCACCGACTAGGTCAGTGTGATGTCATCACCATGACTGGATTTTCTTATTTGACATTTAGTCACTACTTATTATGTCTTACTTTCCTCAGATAATATTTTCATCGATAAATTAGATGCGTCGTTGGTTCAGTGGTAGGGTAATCGTTAACCACTTTAATGTTATGGGGTTCTGCTCCTGGTTGACGCACTCCTAAACTTCGCTTACCCTGTAGTAGACCCGGCAAAACACGAAAGGTTGATAATCTTATTTGTCATATTCTCATAGTTATTCCTTGTAATTCCATATTATTTGTTTATTATATATATATATATATATATATATATATATATCGCACACAGTGAAACAGTATCACTTTACTGGATGACAAGATATTGAGCGCAATTTATCGTTCATAATCATTTCATCAATTATAACTAAATAAACTTGAAATAAATAACTTTGAAACTTGAGTTTTATAGTTTTCGTTATTCTTTCCTTTATTCACCATCGTAAGGGGAGTAGAATTTCTCTAGATGTCCGGCTGGACAGGGGTCGAATCATTCCTGTTGATTCGATAAATAAGACTTCCGTTATCAATCTCCCCCTCCATCCTGTTATACTAGAATTTAAGATTGTCCCTTCTTATCCCATCCTATTGTGCACAATAAATGAAGCTGACGATAACGTTTCATCTTCTATTGACAAAACAAAGTGGGTAATCAACCACTGTCTTCAAGAGAATTAAGCTCTAGTGAGATAAAACTGCTTGAAAAAGGATTAAATTTCAATGTAATAGTTAGTGAACTAAAACCAGAAGATGTCATCCCTAACATAGAAGTAGCATTAAGTTCAATAGAGATAAGATGACAGCAGAAGAGGTTTGAACTCAATATGCATTAACTCTTAAGAAAGAAAAGAAGGCATAGTCAAACTTAACAAAATCAGAAAGACTAGCTCTGATTGGCCTGAAACAGGATAAAAACATCGTCATCATAAAAGCTGATAAAGGAAACTCTACAGTAGTTCTGGATAAATCTGACTATATCAAGAAAGTCACTGAAGAAATTGAAACGGGTGCATATGAGGAAATTAAGAAGTCTGTAGATACAGGGATGAGTAAGATTAAGAAATCTAAAGCAGATTTAATACGTAGTATGAAGCTGTCACTGGGTGAATCTAAATGGCCTAATTTATTGTCTAAAACTAATAACGCTAGTAGAATATATGCTACTATAAATATACATAAACCAGGTCACCCCATAAGACCAATAGTAGATTTCAGAAATACATCGACATAAAAATTATAAAAACACGTAGCTCTAATACTATGCCTTATTAGAAATTGTTTAAACTCTAGGCTAACTAACGAATTCATATGAAATGAAAAGGAAGCTAAATAACATTCAATTAGAGAATAATGAAAAATAATGCTCAGTTTTAATATAACTAGTCTGTACACTAATATACCAATCAATATGGCCTTAGAAGCGATTACGAGAGAACTAACTGCTGATCCTGAACTCATTCATAGGACAAAACTGCCTATTGAGAAAACTATTTTAGGAATTCAGTTATGCCTCTCATCCTATTGTGTAGTTGTGTGTAACTGCATGTAGTAAGTGCTATGGTTGATCTGTCCTCAAGGTTTCTAATCTTATTAGGGTCAACTAGTATAGATTTAGCTAGGTTTTTGTTCTCCGCTAATCTGACTGATCCCGTTCTACTACTCTCTGACTTATGTATTTAACCTCACAATTATTGCAGGCAGGGTATTTTTTTATATTTTCATTCCTTTACGTTCCTAGTGGAACATAGGGCTTCAAGCTACAGTCTTGAAGTTTCGGTAGCAGTGTTGTTTATATATACGAGATGAGGTTGCTTGCCTTATGCCCAACCTTCTCTCTTCACCAGTCTTATTACTGGCTTAGCGAGGTCAAGGACGGCGTCTGTGGCCGGGGCTCGAATCCCGGACCACATGCGTGGTCGGCATCCATTCTACCGCTGTACCACCGACGCACATGTAGGGCATTAGATAAACTAAATTATTTTGTCTCGTCTCTAATCTATATCAATCCGTGGTCACACCTGAAGCAAAATGAATCCATCTGAGGCTGAAACCTGCGTCACTCAGGATTGTATTTACCTTAACTTAGAGGTTAAAAAAGTATCACAATAAATGAGTATTATTTTCAAAGTAACTGATCGTGCCAACAATGACATAAAGTACACATTATTGATGAACCATATTTAAAGCTATTTTGACTGACTGACAGGTTTCAACGTAGAACTTTGCGCAGATGTGCAACACTCCGAGTTACCACACCCTAGGTAGTACACAAAGCAAGAGAAGAGATTAGGGAAAGATAATAAACAGAAATATGTGGCAAAAAGAAGAGAAATATCGAAGAACAATAGAATTTTATTAGATATTATAAATAATAATAATAATAATAATAATGGCTTTATTCCAAACAGTATTTGTGGTACAGGTATGGAATTTTCAGCGTTCATTACAATATTGCATCTAATTACCTCATAAATTTTATAAGGATTTAGAAATATAAAGCAACAACAACAAAAAGAAAAAGAGAAATAAAAGAAATAAAATAAAAAAAGAACAGCATTGCATTCACATATTTAAACAGTGCGCCACAGGATACGACATATAAAATTAGTCTGTAATAGAATATATGAGCAGCAATATAATAGTAACAAAGAAAAGAGAACAAAAGCTAATGGGAACTATTTGTTAGAGTGCCGCAGTAAATTGATCATGTCATGCCTAACAGTTTTCTCATCACATAACAGCTGTGCCAGATAAGGTATTGTGGAGTTTTTATACTTGGTAGTCCTGGCATATAGCTTCCTATAGTTACTTCTAGTTCTACCAGATGATATGCAAGGAGAGAGCTGTGTATAGAGAGGATGCTCAGGGTCTGACAATATAGTATTCGCTAGTTTCTTACATGACATTATATGTCTATCCACTATGGTGTTAACCAGTTGGTTTAACGAAATCCCACTTCCCCTACTAACAGCTTTTAGTGCCCTACGCAGCGAAGCAAAGTCTTTCTTAAGTAGTCCAGGAAAGATTAATGGGGAGCAGTAAAGAGGGATGGTTAGAATACAAGAGTTGACAAACTGAGAAAGCAAAGACTGCTTTATACCAGACTGCCTTAACTTCCTAACGTAGAACGTTAAGCGAAACATCTTTCTAGTCACTAGCAAGATGTGAGAGGACCAGGAAAGATCGGAGGATTGAATACATCTGCACCAGCCATCGACAACATAGAGTTCGAGCCAAATCACCAATTGTCTCCAGCCTTCATTGGTTCTTACCATCCCGAGGACCCCAACCAGGACGTCTGCAACTCCCGACATGGCTGACTTAAACCAACTGTTGTGAATTTCATTGACTGATGAGGCCATGTTTTCGTTTGACCACCACTAGTTCTTTTCCAATCTGATCCTATGTGTGCTATGTCAGCTAACATTTCCCGTTATGGATGAATGCGATGGCTAGGCATGCATGTGTAATTCATGTCCCAACCGTCTCAGTTAGTGTAACTTCACAACCCCATCGGTTGATTTCCCCTCCTTACGCAGCACTCGACCGTTCCCTAACGTCAATATTACTCACTTTATTATACCACCACATAACACGGAAGACAGAACACAAACGCCCATGACCAAAGACAGCTAGTCAGCTTTTTCATGTCTTCCACTTTCAATGGCTATGTCTCACTCACAGTTATAAAGGAGGTTAGAGCGAACTACTGAGGAGTACACACATCCTTTGGTTGACAGCCGGATATCACGTCTACGCCAGATATGGTGAAGTAAGTTGGCAGGCATATGCCAATTGAGCCTTCTGTATTCGTGCTGAGATTTCCTCAGCAGTCGACCCTCTGGCGTTGGCTGATGCAACTTACCAAATAAGTGAAGTAAGCGTTCAACACGCTCCACCAACCACTTCTCCCCTACCTATCTTTAACCTAGGTGTGAGTCGATGTAGTCCAGTCCTGTAGCATCATCTTACAAAGCTACTTTGATTACACCCTAGGTAGTAACTAGTATCCAATCAAAGTATCCAATATAGTCAGTCCTACAGGAAGTCAATCGGTAGCCTAAATATCTCACTGGTAACATCTTTAACCGCAGCACTCACTGGTTGAGACAGGTTTAAATCTCAGAAGGGACACGGATTCCTTAGAGTTTGTAGATACGCCATACTGACTGATGAATGTCAACAAATACGAAACCTACGTTCAAAGCTTCCTACCGATCGCTTCCAATCTCCTAACATAATGTGTATAGTATAGCTTAAACCATCGATTTACTTACTATAATAAACAATGTTATATCGTA